CACTGAGTCTAGTATATTGCCTACGATTTTGGCCTATCATTGATATGGGATATCAACACTACCACCATGTATACTAATGGAGCTGTTCAGATAGGGGAGATATAGACAGAAATCTCTTTCTACCCTGCATGCATCCTTTTCCAAAAGAGGAAATACAAACAGTCCTTTTACCTTACCCTCGGCATGCTTCATTAAGACTCCCATAGGGAGACATGACTGTAAAGCACCAGTAAGGAGAGGAATGTAGGTGAAACAGCTGACAGTTGGATGTGGTTCAGGTTTTCAAGTGCTGTGAAATGTGACCCATTTTTAACTCAGATTCTACTGGTTTCAGAGTAACAGCCGTGTTAGTCTGTAGTCGCAAAAAGAAAAGGAGTAGCATCCGATGAAGTGAGCTGTAGCTCACGAAAGCTTATGCTCAAATAAATTGGTTAGTCTCTAAGGTGCCACAAGTCCTCCTTTTCTTTTTTCAGATTCTACTCTAACCAGCAGCTGTTTTTTTATGTCATGTGATTTGAACATTTATCCCAGGTTTTGTCCAGTTGGGATGTTGAGAGGAATGTCCAGCTAGGGCTATACTTGGATAAGAGATTTCAAAGGAAAACTCAAGGGCTCCAAGAAGTGGTGCTGGTATTTTTGCAGGTGTTGCCTTTTCTACTAAGTCAGTACTGGACCAAGTCAGACATGGTGTGTGTGGTATGGGACAGGGTTCTCAACCTTTTTCTTTCTGAGTCCCCCCACAACATGCTATAAAAGCTCCATGGCCCACCTGTGCCACAATAACTGGTTTTCTGCATATAAAAGCCAGGGCTGGTATTAGGGGATAGCAAGCAGGGCAATTGCCTGGGGCCCCATGCCAGAGCGGCCCCCAAGAAGCTACATTGCTCAGGCTTTGGCTTCAGCCCATGCAGTGGGATTTCAGCTTTCCACCCTGAGCCTCAGTGAATCTAATGCTGGCCCTGCTTGGCAGACCCCTTGAAACCTGCTCGCAGACCCCTAGGGGGACCCGGACTCCTGGTTGAAAACTGCTGGTATAAGAAGTGGTAATGATGGCACTCTTTTCCCTCTGAGCCAGTACTGAGACAGTTCCCCAAAAGACTTAAGGGATGTTGTGCTTAAAGAGATACTGTCTTTTGGCTTAAATGTAAAATCAAGGTTCTGGCTACTTGTGAACCTTAGAATTCCTATGGCACTTTTTGTAAGAGTTGGGGTATTAACATAGGTGTCCAGGAGATATTCTTAAAATTATTTGGTTAATTCTGATTATATTCTTCCCCCACCCAAAACTGCACCTGCCATTTTAAATGGAAAAATATATTCTTTGTATTCTTAACTGTTGGGGAGTGTTGTTATGTGCTATTAAACAGCTGTTGCATTTCAACCCATAAATGGCTGCATTTCAATGGTGGGTAAAATGTTCAGTGTGTAGTTCATATATCAGTACTCTGATATCCTTCTGGAAAAGTCACTATATAGGAATATATTGTTAAAATGAGTTATTAGAAAATTAATTTTCTTAAGAACTAAGAACACGGACACTGAGGAGATTTTCTAAGCCTTGAGAAAATTAATCATGGAATAGGAATGACAGCACAGATCAATTTATAGATTTTTTTTTTCCAAATTAGTTGAGAAACCTGGCAAATGGTGCATTGGCCTCTGTCAAGGTTCCTTCCCCACTCTGAACTCTAGGGTACAGATGTGGGAACCTGCATGAAAACCTCCTAAGCTTACTTTTACCAGCTTAGGTTAAACTTCCCCAAGGTACAAACTATTTTACCTTTTGCCCTTGTACTTTATCACTGCCACCACCAAATGTCTAACAGATATATAACTGGGAAAGAGCCCATTTGGAAACGTCTTTCCCCACAAAATCCTCCCAAACCCTACACCCCCTTTCCTGGGGAAGGTTTGATAAAAATCCTCACCAATTTGCATAGGCGAACACAGACCCAAACCATTAGATTTTAAGAACAATGAAAAAACAATCAGGTTCTTAAAAGAAGAATTTTAATAGAAGAAAAAGTAAAAAGAATCACCTCTGTAAAATCAGGATGGTAAATACCTTACAGGGTAATCAGATTCAAAACATAGAGAATCCCTCTAGGCAAAACCTTAAGTTACAAAAAGACACAAAAACAGGAATCTACATTCCATTCAGCACAGCTTATTTTCTCAGCCATTTAAAGAAAACAGAATCTAACGCATATCTAGCTAGATTACTTACTAAGTTCTAAGACTCCATTCCTATTCTGTTCCTGGCAAAAGCATCACACAGACAGAGAGAGAGAGGCTTTGTTTCTCCCTCCCCCAGCTTTTGAAAGTCTCTTGTCTCCTCATTGATCATTTTGGTCAGGTGCCAGCAAGGTTATCCTAGCTTCTTAACCCTTTACAGATGACAGGGTTTTTCCTCTGGCCAGGAGGGATTTTAAAGGTGTTTACCCTTCCCTTTATATTTATGACATGCCCCCCAAATCACAGATAGGGTGAAATGCTGGCTGTGATTTCTTCCTGGAGCTCTAGGAGAAAACAGAGTTAATAAGACACATGCACCTATAAATATACTACCAAGTATATAAAGACTAACAATATTTTCCACATCTCAAGGATGATTTTAACCAGTTGATTCTGGGAAACTTTCACGGGAGAGTGCATCAACCACGTTGTTAGAAGCTCCTGAAATGTGTTGGATGTCGAAATCAAAATCTTGGAGAGCTAAACTCCACCAAATAAGATTTTTGTTATTTCCCGTGGCGGTATGAAGCCACCGTAGCGCAGCATGGTCGGTTTGAAGATGGAAATGCCTTCCCCAAACATATGGGTGTAGCTTTTCAGAGCGTAGACAATGGCATAACATTCTTTTTCACTGACTGACCAGTTGCTTTCCCTCTCAGACAGCTTCTTGTTGAGAAACACTACAGGGTGGAATTCTTGATCTGATCCTTCCTGCATTAAAACTGCTCACACACCATGCTCGGACACATCTGTGGTTACTAGGAAAGGTTTGTCAAAGTCTGGGGCCCTTAGTACAGGGTCAGACATGAGTGTCGCTTTAAGCTGGTTAAAGGCCTTCTGACACGCTTTGGTCCACCGAACGGCATTTGGCTGTTTCTTTTTGGTTAGGTCTGTCAGTGGGGCGGCGATTTGGCTGTATTGCGGTACAAATCGCCTGAAATAACCGGCCAAACCTAAGAAGGATTGAACCTGTTTCTTTGACTTTGGGACAGGCCACTTTTGGATAGCATCCACTTTGGCCTATAGAGGGTTGATAGTTCCTTGACCCACCTGGTGTCCAAGGTAAGTCACTCTGTTTAGGCCTATTTGACACTTCTTAGCCTTAACAGTTAGTCCTGCCTCCCTTATGCGCTCGAAGACTTTTTGTAGATGTTCCAGGTGTTCTGCCCAGGAATCCGAAAATATGGCCACATTGTCAAGGTAGGCAACTGCATATTCTCCTAATCCCGCTAGGAGACCATCTACAAGTCTTTGGAAGGTGGCGGATACATTCCGCAGCCCGAAAGGGAGTACATTAAATTCATACAGCCCAACATGGGTGATGAAGGCTGACCTTTCCTTGGCGGATTCATCTAGCGGTACCTGACAGTACCCCTTGGTTAAGTCCAAGGTAGAGATGAACTGGGCCTGTCCCAGTTTCTCTAATAGCTCATCTGTGCGTGGCATTGGATAGTTGTCTGGGTGAGTTACAGCATTTAGCTTACGGTAGTCCATGCAAAAACGTATCTCCCCATCTGGTTTGGGAACTAGAACCACTGGAGATGCCCATGCACTGCCAGAGGGGCGGATTACACTCATCTGTAACATATCCTGGATCTCCCGTTCTATAGCAGTTTTAGTTTGAGGAGGCACCCGGTAAGGTTGGACTTTAATTGGGTGAGCATTACCTGTGTCAAAGGAGTGGTATGCCCGTTCCGTCATATTTATCCTGTTTCACTTGTCTGTTGTGGAGACTGATTAGTTTGTTTATAAAGCATTTTGAAGATGATAGTGAATGCTACGTAAGTGTTAAGTATTAGTAACATCAAATATTCAAAGACCCTAAAAGTAAGGATAAAAGCTTGACACAAAGGCTTCAAGTGTAGTGAAAAATGCCTGATAAACATGCAGCTGTTCTACTACTATGTGATTCCCCATTGTCTATTTTCATGGCTATGCCAGCACTATCAACACAAAAAGGAAGACAGCAATTTCATGGACCCTGACAGTGTTTACTCCTTATAGATCATATGACTTTGGAGAATTAATGGAAATTGTTGCTGCCGGGCTGTCTTTCCCAGTAGTATGTCAAAGGATGAAGAAGTGCTCTTTAAATGGACTGTGAAGGGAGGAGTGTGTACAGAGCAGTATAACAAGTCCCTCCTACATAACCCTGAGTATATTCTTCCTCATGTTTAGACTTCAAAAGTGAATTGTAATAGCAGCAGGTAGGATTTTGAGTGTTGTAGCAGATTGTTCTTGTAGGTTGTACTGTTGAAACCTTAACTCTTATTCTTCATTTTGTGTGCCACTGACCACAATTTCTGCACTTAACAAATAATAAACAAGTATTACTCAAGTTGCTGAAGTCACATAACTAATATTAGGTCTAAGAAAGTAAGTCTCAGTCAGGGAAAGTGACTTGTCCTAGGTCATACAGCATGTTAGTGACAGAACTGGGAATAGAACCCACCTTCCCCGCTCATCCCAGTCTTCAGCTCTAACAACTATTTAGCAATCAAATATATTTATCAAAGATAAAAAATAATAAATAAAGTTGTGGTGCAGTGACAAATTTTTTACAAATAATAGAAGAAAATATTTTTGATAGCCTGTCTTCAAGGGCAGAGCTAAAGCCTTCAGAAACTACACATCCCAGCGTGCAATGTAGTGTTTAAACCTTCATAGACTACAAATCCCAGCAGGTAGAGCACTTGTGAAGTCCTCAGAGACTACAAATCCCAACAGGCAGTGTGGGAGGGACGGAAACTCCCTGCATTGAGACTACAACTCCCAGCATGCAAGGTGGTAACGAGGCCGGTGTTGATTCCAGGCCCTCTGGCCCGCAGGCAGCGCTGGATCACCACGAGCAGGGACCCCCACTCGGCGGGGAGTGGGAACAGAGCCCAGGGCTGCGAGGGAGGAGCGGGCCGTCACCTAGGCCTTTCCTGAGGAGGTAGGAGCAAGTTCAATATAACTCTCTAGGCCTGTCTTCAAGGGATGTATCTCCCTCCTTAGCTCCTAGGGTGCTGCTCTTCAGGTGGCATTGGACCCTCCCTCCCTCCCTCCAGCTCTTAAGGGATTGTGACTTCCCTCCTGACCATCTCATATGGAGCCCTTTTCAGGGATGGGACTTTCCTTTTCCAGCCCATAAAGATGCTCTCACCAGCCTACAGAGTAAGGGGAGCCACCCTTTCCCCAGCCATCTGGGGTTGAAAGCTTCCTGTCCTGACTTGCAGCTGCCTAGGGATGGCATGCTATGCTCCTCGCTTCCCAAGGGACTTTGTGGGACTGACTTTCTTAAGCCTCAGGGAGCCTCTTGATGAGGATGGGATGCCCCCAATTGCCAAGCCCAGGGCACATCACAGCTTGAAGACGTCAGAGATATTGGGTCTTTGCTGTTACCCTGCTGTGGATATTCTGGGGTTGCCATTCCTCAAAGGTGCATGCAGGCTAGGGCTGTCTCATTCTGTCAGGCTATGCTCATGCCTTTTAAAATGGTAATTTCTTTTTGTTTTAATCCAGGACACCAACTGGACTCCTGAGAAATTGCAATGCAGGTTTCAAATCTCCAGTAAGTGTTTTTATATATTTCTCCACCCCCTTTGGAAGAGAATGGTTTTACCTCCAGAGTCAGTGCTGCCCTGGACTACAGCAAGGGGATGTGGTGGATTGCTACCCTTCTCATCCACGGCAATGTCGCAGTTGGGTACCCTTGCCTGCTCTGTGGCTGCCTCTCTCTTCTAGAGATGAACAGCAGCTAAGGCAGTTGGTTACATGGATCAGCTTTCTTTCATGGTAGATAACATGGTGATGAACAGAGTAGAATTTAGATGTTCTGCCAGTTAATGTGTAGATACAGGGCAGTGATATCCTTCATCTTCAATTCTTCTATCCCTCCTGGTACACAGAGAAAAACTAAACTTCACATCATTTGTTACAGCCATATGAATTTAGTGTGAGTGTCACTCTGTCATGTTCAGCCATCAGTATTGCAGTTGTGTATTCACAGAGCAGGCACAGCAAAGTTAGCAGCAGAACAAGATCCCTGCTAACTATTATGTTTAGAGGCATGTCTATACTGCAGAGCAGTGGTTCTCAACTAGGAGTACGTGTACCCCTGCGGGTACACAGAGATCTTCCAGGGGTTACATCATCTCATCTCAATATTTGCCTAGCTTTACAACAGGCTACATAAAAAGCACTAGTGAAGTCAGTACAAACTAAAATTTCGTACAGACAACAGTAATAGTGTGTTGTGACACTTTTGTGTTTTTATATCCGATTTTGTAAGCAAGTAATTTTTAAGTGAGGTGAAACTTGGGGATACGCAAGATAAATCCGACTCCTGAAAGAGGTACAGTAATCTGGAAAGGTTAAGAACCACTGCTGTAGAGCATACTCATACCCGGGCTCCTATGCTTGCGAACCTGTGCATGCCAGGTCCAGCTACAGGTATCCACGCTGCAGAGCTGCATGTGACCCATACCCATGTAGCCAAGTCCACACAGCACTGCAGTGTCACATTTGGTCTAGGATTTCTGAGGATGTATCCCAAGGTAAATGGGTTCACATCTATCCTGGAGAGTTGGCTTCAAGTGATAAGGATAGTTTAGTCTTCATGGCTTATTTAATCTTTTCTCTTTTGGCTGAAATAGCAGTTGATCCTAATATTTGTGGTGGTTCAGCAATAAATACTTTCCCTGTGGAAAAATATTGCTAGTTACTTTAGTGCTCTGACATATACATACTACATATACATACACTTCTGGGGCTAGCTCAGGGGTGGGCAAACATTTTGGCCCGAGGGCCACATCGGGGTTGCAAAATGGAATGGAGGGCCAGGTAGGGAAGGCTGTGCCTCCCCAAACAGCCAGGCCTCCACCCCCTCCCACTTCCTATCCCCTGACTGCCCCCTCAGAACTCCCGACCCATCCAACCCCCTCTGCGCCTTGTCCCGTGACCGCCCTCTCCCGGGACCCCCTGTCCCTAACCGCCCCTCTGGGACCCTACCCCCATCCCCCCTACCTCCCCCCGAACCTCTGCCCCATCCAACCACTTCCTGTCCCCTGACTGCCCCCCAGGACCTCCTGCCCCTTATTCAACCCCCTCTCTTCCCCCTCTCCACCCCCTTACCATGCTGCTCGGAGCGGCAGGACAGGCTTATTGGAAAACCTGGGAGGTGGGCGAGCGCAAGCCGTGCTGCCCACACAGTGGTGTACCTGCAGGGGAGCAGGTACAGCAGGGGAGGGGCCGGGGGCTAGCCTCCCCTGCTGGGAGCTCAGGGGCCAGGCAGGACGATTCTGCAGGCCAGATGTGGCCCGCGGGCTGTAGTTGCCCACTACTATCTGGGCTAGATACTGGCTTCCTGAAAAATTTTTTTAAAAGGTTTACAGAGTAAGATACATCCTTCTGCTTTGAAGAACTCTCAAACTACATGGCACTGATTGGCAATAAATAGCGTGATAAGTTTGTTTACTCGGGTTTTCACTGTGAAGTCTTATTTTCCCTTTTCACCTAAGTCAGGAATAAACTAACAAATACTTAATATCTCTTCTGATCAGTCCCCTCTGGGACAGTGGCATTTCACACAGTGCTGAGTTAGTGGAATGTTAAAAGCACTGTCTGCTCTACAGATCCAGTCTCCAAGGTCCTGCCAATCAGATGGAGTCAATAAGGAAGCCCTACAGCGTGAAGTTGAAGAACTGAAACAGAAGGATCTTGCTCTGGATCAGGAAATTGCACAGTTGTTGGCTGAGTATGTTCTTGGATAGTTTGATGTTCAGCATGAGGCTTGGGGTGGTTTTTTTTTTTTAAAACAAAACAAAGCCCGAGTATCAGAGTTGGAAACTGCCACCTCCTGTTGGTGGTGCTGATATTGCACTGTGACCAAAATCTGTTTCGGTAGGAATAGTGTTAATTTCAGCATTGTTTGAATTACAGGGCACTTCAGATACAAAATTGAACCAAGTACCTTGTTTGTTTTTTGCAAAGCAAGGCTAGATTGAATCAGTACTTGGATTTAAGGAAAACCTGGAGGTTGCAGGGAGTGAAAATTGTGATTCAATAGGTGGTGCTGTTCCACATTGTGGTGCTGCTCAAGGGCATGGTGTTTCTAGAATTGTCATTCAGATGGGATGTGAAACTGAGATCCTGATCACTCTGTCCTGGTCAGTTTCATTTTGGATTAAACTACAGTCTGCCTTCCTAAATTCCAAGTGAAACTTCAAGGGGAAGTATTCATTTCTTGTCCTATGCTTGATGTGAGCTGTCTTAACATCATTTCACATCTTGCACCCCAGAAACAGCTGTATTTCCATGGTGGGCAAGTGGTCTGTAAAACAACTTGAAATGAAGGGTGCTATCTAAAAGATATTGAAGCCCCTGGCATGGCTCCCGATGATGCAGCATTGGTGGAAGTTATCCTGGGTTTTGCCTACCAGCAAGATTCTTGAGGAAGGACTGCAGTTTAACTATTGGAAGCTGTGCCTTTTGTGGGTTATAAACTGTGAAACCTGAGTGCTATCTTCTACAGATAACACGTATAGTGCATAGGATAGATTAGGCAGGTAAAAATAAAAGGAACAATGAAGTTGATCCAAAGATGTGCTGTTTCCTGCTATCTTCGATAAGCAGCCTAATTCCTTAACTCTTCCTTTTGCCAACCGATCAGACCTATTCTTCATATTTGCCACAAGATTTATTATTTTTTATTTATTTATTAAGATTTATTATTATTCATACCTAACTCTGAGAACTACTTTTAGCTTTATTTTGTTGTGGGGAGAAGGATTGATCTGGAACAGCCCTTGGAATGGAGACTGTACTCCCTGCTGATGGTTTTTAAAGACTGAGCTCTTGCCTTCAGAGTCCTGTAGGCAGCAGGGCAAGTGGTGTGGTTTTGGCAGGTTCTACTATCGCTCACAAGTATCTTGTCTCTGCTAAACAATTGTGGTGAAGTAGGAGTACTTGCTCTGTGTCATTGTGACCTTTCTGGGTTTGCTATTACAGAGGTTACAGCCTGGAGGAATTGGAGAAACACATCTCTCTGCTCCATGAGTACAATGATATTAAAGACACTGGACAGATGCTGCTGGGCAAGCTGGGTAAGAAGAGCAGGACTAATATGCAACTTTTCTCAGTAAATGTTTCCATGTGTTTCATTACAGAAGAGGGAAAGCTACAGTCCTAGGGCTTATCTTAATTCTTGAACTATAAGATTCTATAGTTAAAATCCCATATTCAAGCACAGATACATCTGTCATGAGCCCATTGGGATCTTCTCAACAGAATGGCAGAACCAGGGGGCTATTCAGTGTCTCTTCCTGATCCTCTCAGTGGGATGTGAACTTGTCACTTAATGACTGCTAGTTTTTTTTCTATGGATTATCAAAGATGATTCTTCTGTAATTGATAGATAACCCTGAGAGTTGTGTATTCTGCACTGCACAAGACTTGGAAAAAAATCCTGCAGTTAGGAGTGGAGTGGGGAGAGTGTGTAAGATAAGACATTTGGACTCATCCCTTAGCTAATGGAAAGCTTTAGGACAACTAGGCTCGGGGAGAGTCAAGTCTTTTATTCTACTGCCTAAACTCAAGTCATAGAAACCATACAGCAAAAACTCTTGCTAACTAATCTGCTTCTCTATCTGTAATGGAAGCTGAGGTATTGTTTCCTTTCTAGCCACGATTAGAGGGGTCACCACAAAGGAGCTGTACCCCAAATTTGATCTGGAACTTACTGACTAGCATTGAAACTGAAGACTACAATCTCCTGCAGAGATCACCATTACTGGGGCACTGCGTGTTGGTACCGTACACCTTGAGAACTTACACACAAGGACAGTAAAAATGCAGAGACTTTCAAGGAAGTGTTACTTGGCTGCTTCATTTCTAAGAATATCTAACTTCTAGAATGGAAAGCTATTGAACCCATCCCATGTTCCCTGTTTCAGGAAAAGTGGCATTCTACTCTTTGGCAATGAGAGGCGGTTCAGTTGAAGTGCCAGGAGCATTAGGCTCCTCTCACTGTTCATTATTTTAAAAACTAAAAGGTTATAATTCAAAATTAATAGTTAACCCCTTCACTGTTGCACTATGTGATGGGGATTCTTTGACATGTTGATGTTCTATGGGCACCTTTAAAGAAGTCTTACATGGGGAAGCAATTGTTAGGGATCAGTAAATGGATGGAGGAGGCAGCAGTGGAGATGGGCAAATATGCAGAGCTGTGTTTTTTGTTTATTTAAAACCTCAGAAGTTGGAAAGGAAAACTGCTAAGAGCAAGGTGTTTGTATGCTTCGTGCTGAAAAAGTTGTGGGCGCTCAATATCCTAGTGCCTCACTGAATTGAGTTCTGGAAGTTGGTTGACATTGCATGTGTATAGTAGTAAATAAATGGAAAAGCATTAACTTGTGGTGCTGAATTGTCCACTCTGAATAAATGATTAACTCTGATGTTCCCTAGCAACTCACTGTGATAGGCTATAGCGGGGGTGGCCAGACTTACTGACCCTGCAAGCCGCAGATGATGATCTTCGGAAGTTCGAGAGCTGGCATGCCTGCCAGGCCTCAGGGCTTTAGCCCTGGGGGCGCACTTGCTGGGGCTCAGGGCTTCAGCCCCACATCTGCTGAAGCTCTGAGCCCCAGAGAGCACCTCATGCAGGGCTGGAGCCCTGAGACCTGTCTCCCTGCAGGGCAGAAGCCACCAGCCTACCACCCTGCTGCAGGGCAGAAGCCCTGAGCTCCCCCCCGCCCCAGTCTGGTAGGTGGAGAATGGGGGGGAGGGTACCCTGCAAGCCTCACTTTAACTGTAAAAGAGCTGCATGCGGCTCGCGAGCCACAGTTTGGCCACCCCTGGCCTATAGAGAGGCTAAGAAAAACAGAACATAACTGTACTCTCCTTAGGCTACTATTTTCAGTGTGCCACTATAACTCCAGATCAGAACTCCTATTCAGACACTTCCCAAGGACCCTCAACAGGGTCAGTGAGGCACCATTGCTGATGGTTGCATATCGGACTGGACACAGGGTTACCTCTCCCTCTTTGTTTCCAGATGCAGTCTCAAAGAAATCAGTAATATAGTGAAGGGCTTCCTCAAACAATTTTCCTGTATTCAACATAGGTCACAGAAGACAAAATATACCTCACTCCTCAACTAATAGAGAAGGTGCTGACATCCTAAAGGGAGGAGGGTTATGGCTGTAGAATTAAGGTAATGCAGTTCCCATGCAGTTCCTGGCTTTCCTCAGTAGCATTTTAGGGATTGAAACTTGTATTCATTACATAGGGCACTCTTGTGCACCCACATCCTTAACTCCACATTAGTGAAACTTTCTATAAATTTCTCTGGGTAGACAACTGTCTGTGTGGGGTGTGTCACTAATGCATAAGAGTTGGTACAGAGGCTTGTGTAGTTGAATATATCTGCTTCTATGAGTGTTCTATACCAAAAGAAAACTAGAGCACATAAGATGCAAGGTCTGTCTTTAAAGAGTTAACACACTGCACTGTAGGGGGGGAGTATAATCTTTAGCCATAAGGTGGCAACAGTGCTCCATTACTGCTTTACCTTCACTTTACATCATTGTGCAGAGGAACTTGGAGGCAGCAGAAAAAAATCCATGAATTAAATTAAAGCTATAGCGATTGTTGTTGTTTTTTTGTAAACCCTCAAGGACAAGAGATGAGACAGTCACTATTGTACATACAGGGAAACTCAGGGAAATTAATTCAAATTAACTAAAAGGTGTGAATGTAAAGTGGATTAGTTAAACTGCATTAAACTGTGTGGAAAATCTCATTCAGAATAAATCCACACTTTTAGTTAATTTGGATTAATGTTCTGAGGGCTTGTCTACACTTAAAATGCTACAGCAGCACAACTGTAGTGCTTCATTGTAGACACTGCCTACACTGACAGGAAGGATTTTCCCGGGGTAGGTAATCCATCTCTCTGAGAAGTGGTAGCTAGGTCAACAGAATTCTTCTATCAGTTTCATGCCACGTGGGGACTTAGGTCAGTTTAACAATGCCACTCAGGGTTGTGGATTTTTCACATGTTGACTGCTGTAGTTAAACCTACAGTACTTAATTTTCTAGTGTAGAGCAGACCTGAGTGCCCTGTGTAAACAAGTCCTTAAATACTTCCTTCCCTGCCACGATTACAATTGCAGATGTCACAGAGTTACTTCTCACCTTTTAAGAGCTGTCCAGGTACATTTTCAAAGGAGAAACAGTGCCTACATGTGCCTCTTTGTACAAGCCTGGAAGAGGTAGAATCTCTTTTGGTAGTAGAAATTCGGTGGTGGTGGTGGTTGCATACTTTGTTGCCTCTAAAGGCTGAGCTCATTACACATATTAGAGGCTCCTTCCATCTCCCCCACATGTATAGTGTGTGCTGCCATCATATCCCCTACTATTGCCAGGATTCTCTGCACCCCCTCTCATGCCCTCCCTTCCCCATTGTGACCCCTTTTCCCGCTCCATTATATCTCTTCTGTCTGGGAGGTAAGTCATTCAAGGTGTCATGATGGATGGCAGATGCTCAGTCTGTCTCATTTTTCCTTCTGGTTTTCTAATTTTTCCCAAAAAACAATAGGGTTCTGCCAATTGATGCCTAGAACATTCCTGGAAATTTTGCAATTAGTCAGATGTAGTGTTCTAAAGGTATCACCGCACATACACTCAACGGGCGGGCACTTTTGTTTGGAAGGCCTAGCAAGCTCAGTCAATAAAATACACATTTGTCTGCAAGATATTTCTAATGAAGCGTGGGGGAGAAGGTAATCTTCACTATGGTAATAACCAATGCAACATCACTTTTATATTTAAAATATTTTTAGATTCTAAAATGAGGGGTGTTACCCCTAATTTTGAGCCCTCACGTGAGAGGAGAGTTCTCACTGCAAAGCATAACCTAGATATTAATGAGTGGCACTCCATCAAAATCTTAGATTGCAATCCTTTAGTACATCTTGGCATCACACTTTAAGCCCTATACATTTTAGAAATATATTAGCTGATTGCTAATGTAACTGTCATCGTTTATGTAAAATAATGATTTGTAGCTTTAAATGAGCACTAATGGAATCTCAGTGAATTCTAAAGCTGTACTTCCTTACTGTTTCTCTTTGAAGGTAATGTATAATTTTGCTGCAGGAAAAAATACATCACGGATGACTACAGATGCATGCAAACAAAATGCAGGGGCTTTTGGCCCTGTTGACTTAAGTTTGAGTATCAAATAACAGCATCTTTCCCCATAAAATATATTACCTAGGATTTTAAATTCACCCCATTCCAACTTATTGTTTTTACATCCTACTCCAGTCCTCTATTATAAGCCTACCTCTCCCTCCTCTTGTTTTAACTGGCTTTCTGACTAACCTGCTCCAGATATTAGTTACCCTGCATGAGAAATAGTATTACCTCACCACTTTAGTCTTAGTTGCTTACATTGCAGTTTCCCCTAAGCAGAACCCTTTCTTGGTTTGAACAATTAATCTTTACCCCTTTCATGTATTTGAAAATGGGGCTGATCTATAGAAAGTGTCATAATAAAAAAAATTAGTTAATTGGGAAAAGAACCACTTAGGTCATACTCTGTCACAAGGCGCATAAAGAGAATAAAAGTAGTAAAGCCTGCAACACACTGGTTGTATTCCCACTTCTAAACTAATTTAAGGGCCCACTCTTACATCCTTCACCAAACTTGACATTCCCACTGAAGTCAGTAGCAGTTTTGGCTTTGCAAGGAAATGTACGCTCATCTCAGATGTCAACAGTTTTGCTGCAGTGTTGTGCAATACTTACAAAAATTATTCTGCCTATCAATGGAGAAATGCCTTGCCTGAATGAAAACATAAGCAACCCTTGCTAAATCAAGGACTACCCCAAGGAACGGCTAGTTGTGGACTGCAACCACCATTTTCCCTTCCTATTACTCTCCACTTTTCAGTCAGCATGTGGTTATCTCATTTTATGAGTCAGATCGCTTGCAGACGTTCCCTCTGTACTGTGCAGTTCACTCGCTGCAACCTGATCCATATCGGTGTGTCTTTTACCACTCCTAGCTTGGTGGCCCAAGCTTCTCTGAAGCTCCAGTTTCACTTTGATCTTAGAGTCTTGAATTGAATTCCGGATATTCTGCAGGTTCCAATGCATTCGCAGGAGAGCGTTGTCTAGAGTGAAAAAGCCATCCCGTGTCCGCCGGACCTGGGTGCACACAGCAGTTGATTTCAGCTCCAAGCCAATCTCGTGAACTATTTTTCGGAGGTACTGCTGGGTCTCATGCAAACACTGGATTTCTGGAGGAGGCAGAAAGACTGCATTAGAAGGACCAGCTAATATATGCAACAAGACACCGTACCTGTAAATTCAAACACCAGTTACTGGGATTAAAGTACAAAAAGAAGAGTTAGTTCAACAGGAAAGATACTCTGTTTTTTTTAAGTACGTGACTGTATAATCATGATTATACAGAGGTCTTGCATGATGTCCCAAGCCTTCAAAAAAGTCAGTTTTATAAAAACAAGTTTCAAATACAAGGTCATATAATAAGAGTTAGATATTTGGGTAGGCAAAGGTCAGTTTAGCTGTATCTGAGTTTGTCAGAATAATTCATTAGGACCAGAAAGGCTATTAAAGGTGAACTACAAAGCTTTTATAAACAGACTGTTTAGGGTCCCAAATTCTTAATATCTGTACAGATTAAATACTTTTAACAATGTTTAATAGATGCTTTGTCTTCAAACTAAAGCCCCAATCCTGTAAATGGCTATGTGCATGGACCCCTGGGCTTATGTTGAGCTCTGTTAACTTCAGTGGGGCTCTATATGGGCACAAGGATCTGCCTGCACAAAGTCAATTGCAGAATCAAGGTGTATGGAAATAATCCTTGCAATATTCCTGTGAGACAGGTAAGAAAATTATCATCCTCACACTAGCTGTGGGGAAATGAAGCAGCAAGGGTATATGACTTCCACCATACCACAGAAGTCCATATTAGTGCCAGGATTAGAATGCAGAAGTTGTCTTTCAATCCTGAATTTGAATCACAGAGGTGACAGATTAACAGCCATGGAGACTGGAATCCTTTATTCACAGATCACCTGTAGAATTCTTGTCCACAAGATATCACTGAGGCCAGAAGTTCAGTAGGATTTGAAAAAGGAATTTATGTTCAGTTACATTATCTAGGATAAAAAATAGTTTAATGGGGATTATAAACTCTCAAGCTTCAGGGCATAAACTGACCACTAACTCATTGCTTCCTTAAGGGGGGGAGGCTGCATCAAATGACTAGTCAATGTATACATCTTCTGTATCCCCTAAAGTGGGAGTAAGAGAGGGCCTTGAAAAACACATGACCAGAATAAAGGGGGTGAGATTGGTTTGTTTTCCTGAAGGAGGGCTCGGCTTTCAAAAATTTGGAAGACACTGCACAAGAAGAATT